AACCATGACCAATTCATTCCCAACAAACATTAACCTAACCCCAATTCATATCTTACCTCTAACCTGAACCAGGAGCTCAGAAATAATGTTGTGGCTCAGTCAGACCTGGCTTTGGTCCCCATTATGTCCACTGGTCTTGACAAGGTCAATGTTTATGCTGGAAAAGGTCTTGACAAAAACAAGTACACACACACGACTACACACACAAGCACATTCACACTCACAATTCTTATTTAACAAATAGCTTTGTTATATGCTGGCCCAAAGCTGTAGCTTAGCATTCCCAAGGCAAGGTCAGGAAATATTACTTAACAATACAAACACAACAGAACAGTAAAGTAAGCCAGAGTGGAGGCACCATCCAGAAATACTAAATTAGCTTTCTGCCCAGTCCAACCACAACCGCTGTCCCAGATGCTAAGAAAAGCTCCATCGGGGGCTCAAGCATAATGCTTGAGGGTGGTTAGTTATTTTCAGAAGCAATAACAGGCATCCATAGTGTCAGGGTTTCTCTCTGGCTTTGCACACTACATCTTGTATGACAACTATTAAACAACATTAAGTCAGCTTGAAGAGCTTATTAGATATACGACTTGGACAGGGCTATTTAAATTAGAGTATATAAATTGCAGTGTTGAAAAGGAAGGAGAGTAGAGGAGGCAGGCAGCAGATACAAATGTCAGCAAAGAGGAAAATGGGTGCAAGAATAATATTTACTGAAGTTCTGTGTCCTTGTAAAAACTACACGGTGAAAGACAGTATTGTTGAGATGACACATTTCCTTGAAATAACTATTTATTTTAAATTCAATTCAATCCACAATCATGTCTCTATTTACTGTTGGATACGCAATTTTATCCACCTCTGAATTCAGTGATTGAGATGATTCATTCTAGATACCACATCCTGTAAACAAGCACAAATGCATACCTGCATGAGTGTGTGTGTGTGTGTGTGTGTGTGTGTGTGTGTGTGTGTGTGTGTGTGTGTGTGTGTATATGTGTGGGTGGGTGGGTGGTTGCTTGAATGTGTGCATGTGTGTCTGTATGAGGATGTGAGGATAATTTAATTAAGGACCAGATAGAGCGGGTTACGAGGTTAATATCCTGCATGCACTCTGCTCCTCTTCGGACACCGTAATTGCTTTAAGCACATTAGGAACTTTATTGACTGTGATGGCCTTTTAAGACATTACATTTCTGCTGCTTAGTGTCAGACAGGAGTCGTCCAGCCCTGCTTACTGTCTCTGACTGCCTGTATTCCTGTCTTTCTTCCTTTCCTTTCCTTCCCTTCCCTGCTTGCCCTCTGCTCACTCTGTCACTCCCTCCTCACTGCATTCCTTTCCCCTGCCCAGATCTGTTTAATTGAAAGCTCCCTAAATATGATGAGATTTGTACAGCGCCTCATCCGTAGAGGCGGCTTGATGAGGTTTGATTGGCAGGTGATTAACTCCTCTTAACCCACAGAATCATCTGTCCTCAGTGGAACAGTTGCACTAATGACACCATAAAAGGCTTCTCGATGTGTCAAATTCAGGAGCGGTGCTCTGGAGAGAGAGCTTCCAACAACCCCGTCGAAAATGTGCAGCCCCCTCACTCCTCTTTCTCTCAGCTGAGATCAATCCTCTCAACGCCCTCTCGGTAGATCTCCACATTTCCACTCAACTAGACCTCTTAATGAGGATGGAGGTGAATGGAAGGAGTTATTAAAAAGTCCTCACCTTCCTCCTGGGACTACTAAAGAGGAATTATACGCAACTAAGTGCACTTACAGCACTAGTTTGTGTTATTTCACATTTCTTTTACCATAAATCCGCATCCACAGCAATCATCATGACGGGGATGGGAAATTATTTCTGGCCCAGGAAGAATTTGGTGTTCCTTCCTTTTTTTATATGAGGGATGAGCTGGATGGTTTTCATTAAGGGCTTCAGGTGAGGAGAAAATGAAAATTACAGTTGGAAGTGGTGGAAGGAGGGGATGAAAGACAGAGGGAAAGTGATGGGGAGGAGAGGAGAAATGAAGGAACGATGTCACAGCTGACAGGGAGTGGAGCCAAGCAATAAGTACAGCAGATATAGGAAATGTGCAGAGATAAATGATGTAATATTTGCATGGATCAATGTACTGTCCCTCTAAAAGGGGCTCTATCTATAAATCACATGACCATGCCTACAAGTACATGTGCACACACGCACACACATTCGCACCACACACACACACACACATGCACACTCAGCTATCTCAATTAGTACGAATTAAGATGTATGGCCGTAAAGTCGCAGTATTTCCAGACCACGATGTAAATGCCTTCTTCCAGCTGGTCGGTCCCATCACTCTGCAGATGGTGGGAGGAGGCATGGAGGAAATCAATTTGTTGAGATAGCACTATCCGGCTAATGAGAAATCAAGTGGCTTGACTTTTCACATGAATCCCATCATGTCCACTCATATTATGAAACCAAGATGTCATTAGTTGCACTTAGTGTGACTGATAGTAGTGCAACCACAAAGTTGGTGTCTGTGCTAGCAGCGCCACCACGTGGTGAATCAAATAATTACATGTAAAAGGATCACAGAGGGGGTTGGCAATGTCACACATGAAATTTCACAGCTCTGAATTATTAATCAGAAACTCAGAATGTTTATTTATCATAAATAGAGTGGATTTAAAAAAAATAATGGTTTACCCCACAGGAAATATTTCCAGCTCAAGTTGTGTTTCATGTATAATAATAATAATACAATTAGAATTATTAGAATTATAATTGTAATTCTAATAATTATAATAAATACAATTGTGCATTGCTTATATTTTTAATTCAAAATTAAAAGTGCATTATCTCACATGATTGGAACATCTCGTTTGTACCTGCCTGTTATATCCTAATTGAAGATTACTGAATAAGTTTAATAATGCACTGTATCCCAGAAAAGGTTTTTCGTCAGTAATTAATGTACACAGACAGAAAACGTCCAAGATTCACTTCTCCTTCAGGAAATGCATGGGCTGAAAATAATGGGATATATCATATCTATGTGTAATATTTTTTATATGTGTGGTGATGTGACGACCATTGTTTGTTTTAATTAATATAAGCAATTTATGAACCTGTCTCAAGAATTATGTTTTATTGTATTCACAGAGCAGAGTGCTGTATCAGACCCAACGTGAAGTGTCTACAGCCATTCAAACCAATCAGTGAAAGTGTATCCTCTCACGAACCAAGCTGAAGCTCAACTGAATTTTGTATAAAGAGGAAATTAGAACTGTATAAGTAGTTGTATGTGTAAAAAAAGGCATGAAGAAAGTAAACTATTAGCAATGGCGTCAAGTTAGGGTCAGTTACATTTTGAGTTATGGGGTTCACAAATCATTTCACAGCCTGCACCTGTGTATCACTTTTTGTGTGCATCTAGAAAGTCTTACATTTTCTTTCGTTGTATTTGGTTTTGAAATAAACTTATCGGTATCGTATTTTTCAGACAAAGCAAAGTTATGAACTCACCTTTGGGTTTTAGCCGGGCAAATGCTTAAAATGTGACATTTCTACAAATTCTATGATGAAAAAGAACCATGTGCCAACTCTCCTTGTGCTGCTAAAACACATCAAATTAAATCAGGATGATAACATTAAATAGAGTAATAGCTGTTTGAGTTTATTTTTTTTTAATTTACATAAATACTTTATACATAAAGAATTTCAAGGTCTGGTATTGAATTAATCAAATATTGTTTTTATAAATCAAAATCAACAAAATTAAATCATGGGCAGCTGTTTAGATAATGAATGCATCAGTGCTGGTTTAGACATAAAGAATCTGATGCTTTTTCAACGCATCAGTTTGGTTTCAATGTTAAATTCAAGACATCTGTCCTGAAGATATTAAAAAATTGTTTTATGTGATTGTTGCTGTCTGGTCAAGACAAGGACAAGACGGGAGAGGACAGGAGAGGACAACGACAAAAAATGCAGACAAAGATGTTACACCACTTCCTCTGACAGCTTTAGCCCACTGCTCAGTTTGATTTCAACTGCTGACTTCCCTTCAACATCATCCTCTGAGGATAATGAATGTATAAAATATTACAATAAGCCATTCAGTAGTTGTACTCTTGTCTGCTACATTCACATCCTGCAATAAATGGAGCTATGCTTGTGAGCTAATTGAGGCAGTCAACTCGAGCTGCACTGCTCTACTCATGTGACACGTCTCACCACACCCTCCTAATTTGGCGGACTATTTAAACATTTCATATCATTCCCCCTGCTTGTCAATGCCTCTGCTGCCATGAGTCAACATTGCTCCCTGTTGATTCAGCACCTCCACCACACCAGCATCCCCTGCAGGCCTTGACAAGGGGGTTCAAGTTATATTGTTGTAATCGATAGGATGAGGTCTGAGCCTGGACGCCAAACTCAAAGTTCTGCTGCTGCAGTAAACATTTTAAACGTGAGTTGTCTGACTGAACTGATTTTAACACAGTAACCACAGTGTGTGTTGGCTATTTACTGACCTTGATTCATTCAGTCCTATGAAAGTGTGAATAAGCTGTTATTCTCAACTGGGAGATCAGCCAATCAGGCCTCAGCATTCTTCTGTTACACAGTGAGCAGGTTTGAAACAGCACTTTGGTGATGACACAGTGAAGTCCTACCGATTTACAATTCACCAAAGCACTTTAAAAATATCTGCTTACTGAAAGTGAAAGCATGTCTTGAAAGGTGAGATGTGTCCGATCAGAAATAGCAGTGAGCGTGACTGACAGTATGCAGTCTGTGACCTCTCTCAGACCTTTCACACTGAGCGACCCATTATACACCAAAGAGCTGCATACATCCTGGATTGGAAGAAAAACATTTCTGGCTATTTCTGTGAAATACATGCCCATATATGGCATATATGAGCATGTGTCTCACAGAGATGATGTCATCAGCCGCTGTAGGGGGCTGGCCTTTAATTTGTAGGCCAGTAAAGAGAGGGTGTTCCTCGGAGCCATCAAGTTGGTATGCATGTAGGGGGTGTGGCTCTAAGAGAGATAGACAGGTTCTATATTTAATGAAGTGAAACAAAGTTTGAGGAACTATATGTTGCCTAGCAATCACTACATCAAGATAAATAGCTGAGGGGATTTTTTTTTCACTTTGGACAAACTGCTGTGACTTCCAGGTGGACCTAAAGGAGGTGAAGGAAATGCCCAACAGAAAAATCTTCAGCAGCTGTTTCAGAGCATCAGTGTGACACAGACAGAGAGAGGGAGCAAGCAGCAGAGGGCAAAGTCAAGAGACAAAGAGAGGGAAAGAGAAACAGAAAGAGAAAGAGAGAGAGAGAGAGAGAGAGAGAGGGAGCAGAAAACAAGAGGAGAAGCTGCTTTTGTTGAAACTTGTCTCTGATCACACTGAAGGGCTTCCACCATGGGAAAGTCAGGTATGTGGAGACAAGTTGTTTACTTTGATTGTGTAACTTTGACCTGAAGTTGGAATTGTGTGTGTGTGTGTGTGTGTGTGTGTGTGAGTGTGTGTGCCCACGTGTGTTTATGAGATTTGGGCTCTTTGAAAAACACCACAGAGAATATACAGACCTGCAAACAAACTTCTTTATGCTTTTTCATTTGATTTATTTTGCTCTCAAATAGTTGTGTAATGTTTTGCCCATTAGATATATTTCTTCTTCTGATTGTTTGTGAGGACTCATCTTGCAGCATGCTGAGTAAACCCCTGGCAGCGTGGCCATTTGTATTGTTTCAGTGTGCCTGTATGAATGTACCTATTGTGTGCGAGCACTCGAGAGATTGTTGGACTTGTGAAAAGGCCAGTGAGTGATAGGCACCAGGCGGGGGGTGGAGGGGTGGAGGGGGGTGGAGATGACGTTTTCTTCTCTCCATCCATCATGTGTCATCTAGTAAGAACTCTCTGGTCACTCTGAGGTCAGTCGCTGTTGAGGTGGTGCAACTAAAACTCAGATTGCAGCTCGGGTTTGGACTCTGGTGTCATGTACGGGACCTCGTGTTACATCATCGTGTCTCCTCTCTCTCTCTTGTCTGACCCCCCTCTTTCTCCGTCCTCTCCGGCCCCTCAGCCTCGAAGCAGTTTTCACGGGAGCTTCTGCAGTGCCACAACGAGTACAGAAACAAACACCAGGCTCCTCCCCTGAAGCTGAGCATCAAGTTGAGCAGAGAGGCTGCCCGGTGGGTTAATGCACACACAGATTAAATTAGAAACCTAATTACCAGGGAGTGTGCACACCAGTCATTGTCAGACTGCTCTGGGTAACAGTGACAGCTCCAGTCCAGCCTGTCAAATGCAATGACTACAAAATATATAACACAATATCAAGGGTCTTTACTTTGTTTTTATTGTGATTACAGGCTGTGTTGACAATCTGTTGCCAGTAATTGCAGCTCTATTGATGTTTCATTCAAATAAGGCTCTAATGACACTTAATTTTCAGATTGTCTGTATCATTAACTCCAGATAAACTCAGAGAATTACTCAAAGGCCAAATGTGTTTAGTACGAACGGAATCTCTTTCCTTTCTGTATCATTGCGGTTACTGTCTTGCTTAATATTCTCTACTTTTTTTCAATTTCCTGGTGCTAGTTTGATGGTGCAAGAGCAACAGTGATGTTAAACAACATCTGGTTATAAGAAATCTGATGTGAACATTCAGGGCACAAAAATTAATATTTATTCTTTGCTGGTTTGTCATGTGTTGACAAACAATTAGAATGAAGCTACTAACATTAATGATAATGTTGATATGGGAGACTTAAATATTTGCTCACAGGATATTAAATTCAGATTATCTAGTGCATTACAGCTCATTGGAATAGTGAATGGCACATTTCCTTCTACCTCTGCGATGACTGACATTGGTCGGCACTATCTTAAATAATTTGATCATACCTGTTTCCCCCTTCGCTCAGGAAAAAGACTGAGACATCATTCACTTATCTTCTTATCAACAGCTGCATATTTTGGAAATATTTTCTATTTTAGTAATGAAATATAATCTAGATTTAGAACATAATCCAACACGATAAGAAAAAAAGCTCACTGGACTTTTTTTGTTCTTATACATTTTGTGCTTTCACCCAGGAAGCGTCAATAGCACTGCTGAGGTGATGATGAAATTGGAATAAACTCATCCACAAATGATGTCACTACATCAACGATATCATTGACATATCACTAACATCCAATTAGTCCATATAAATACTATGTGAACTTTTTAACCAGTACAAATATCATTAAGTGACAGTCTGTAACTTCAGTCAAAACTGCTACAATAACCTGTGTTTGAAGGGACACATTATTAATTTAAGGGACACTAATGAAAATTGTCTTTTTGCAAAAGCAGTTTTCAGAGGGACTGTAGCTGGGCCTACAGTTTATCACTAGATTAAACTTCAGATGTACTGTTTATCTTGAAGTTGGAGCCCAGGACAGTGCAGAGAGATTAAAAAAAAGACTTCTGGGAAGGCCGGGTCTGAAGAAGTGATGAGACTCATACTGATAATCTGTCCAGGGAAGAAATGAGCTTGCAGCGGTTAAAAGGTGAAAACACATTTTGAATTGTTACACCTTTATTTGTCTCTGTCTTTAGTTATGCTGAAAGTCTGTCCAGCACACGGATCCTGAAGCACAGTGTGGAGTCCAGCAGAGGGAGTTGTGGAGAGAACCTGGCGTGGGCATCCTATGACCAATCAGGTGTATATATATATATATATATACACACATGTGCACCTGAATGTTTATCATGCTGTCCTCACACACTACAGCCACAGTTACTAGACAGATGTATGTTTATAAGACACATCCATGATGCAACATGTGATAAGACACAGTCCTTAATGTAAATGAAAATTTAATCTATTGGGCTTAAAGAAGATTCTCTGGGCTGACTTTCCCATCCTGCAAGTGAACAGCTGGGATCTATTTCCTGTCGACTTCACACTTTATTAGAGAACTCAGTCCCCATGACTCACTGCAGAAATATGTCTACACAGGATGGTGTGATTCATAAAACTTGTCCTCAAGCAGCACTGGAAAGAACATGTATCCAAAAAAGATTTGAATCTGCTGGCTGCAGTGTTGTTAGTCTGTTTAATATGTAGGACACATGATGGGTTTGATTGTTGTCAAAGTGGAGGTAATGTTTGTTCTGTGCTCGTGCAGGGAAGGATGTGACAGATCGCTGGTATGATGAAGTGAAACAGTACAATTTCAGCCGTCCTGGATTCTCCTCAGGCACAGGTGAGATTCACACACACACGAGTACCTGTCTCACTTCCTTTCAGATGTCAGTCAGTGGCAAACGTCCTCTGACCAAATATATGAACACAAAATGACTTAAAGGCACAGCGTGTAGAATTCAGTGATATCTAGTGGTGAAGTTGCATGTTACAGCTGAATACCCCTCACCTCACCTTCGCCTTCCAAACATGAAAAAGAACCTGTGTAAACCTTCAGTTGTCATAAAAACTCAAAAGCTGTTTAGTTTGTCCAGTCTGGACTACTATTAAAAACATGGCAGCCTCCATAGAGAGGACCCCATTGTAGCTCATCCCAGTAATTCACATTGATTCGTGTGGAGTTACATTTAAGAAAAGGAAAGACATCAAGTGCGGAGGGAGAAGGACGAGGTTTGGGATTGATGAGTAAAAGACAAATTAACATTCCTTCATCTGTAAATATTTGGAGGAACTTCAGTCTGGGAGCACTCAGCTTTAAGTTTGTCCTAACAGTTTCTTTCTCAATCCATCTTCTGCTGCCTTATCCCTGTGTAATCTCCTTCTTTTCATTTTTTCTTTCTCTTTTCACCATCCACCTGAAGGTCATTTCACAGCGATGGTGTGGAAGAACACTAAAAAGCTGGGTGTGGGGAAGGCCACTGCATCAGATGGTTCTTCCTTCGTGGTGGCGAGATACTTCCCAGCCGGAAACATCACCAACCAGGGACACTTTGAAAACAACGTTCTCCCGGCTAAAACCACCACTTCATAAAGTTGACGAGATCATAAAGACTTGACTCAAACCAAAAGGGATTTATTCCTTCCTCCAGGAGTGGTGTTATCTGCCTGCACTGTTGTGGAGAAGACTCTGGAGAGCACCAGTTGTTGCCTAGTAGATAAACGACATAATACGAACTCCTGAAGCTTCTAAAAGATGTACATGTGTAACATGCAGTGTTTAAAATGAAAGACGCGTTACTGTTTGACATTATTAACAATACGTGTAGTGACCAGGTGGACTATAGAATCCTGATGGTCATTTACACTGCATGAGACGGTATTTCCTTCATAAATTTTAGTACTTTAATATATTTCACACCCTTAAAAACATCACGGCTTCACATCTGAATCCGTTTAGGACTAGGGACTAATTAAGTGGAAATGCAGGGAACTCACATTTTCATATTGCTGATTACTCAACATGCTCAGTATGTAATTGTGTTCATGCAGCTACTTGTCAAAACAAAATCTGCTCATCCAGGATGTGTGTTTTCTTTTTTACTCTAATCAGATTTTTTTAAAGTTTATAGATTGCCAGATATCTGTTTGGCAACTGTCTATGCATGCTAGTGTTAGAGTTTAATTTCTCCGTGTTTGCAGGCGAAGTATAACCCTTCCATTGAAAATGATTGAAAAGGAACATTGTAGACAATGTTAAACACTGAGTAATGAACATGTTTTTCCGAAATTGGTATAAAACGTCTGAATAATTGTGCGATTGGCATAAATCCTCTGAGTCTTAAACACTGGAAAGTGTTTCTTTAATATCTGCAGACTGTCTCTGCAAAACAATAAAACAATTATCTGTAATGGTAAGCTTTAGAGTGCAGCCAGTTAGCAGTGTTTCTTTGAAAAAATGTTATTACCACAAAATATAAGCCTTCCATACAATTCACCCAATCTACACTCGTCATGCGCACATTACAGCTCCAAACTTTCACTGTATAAATTAAAGGTATTCTGTGTATATACATCCATTTATATTTTGAGTAATAGATGAGAAATAGTTGTGTGTTCCTCCGCTGTTTGAAAAGCCCTGATGGCCTTTAGCAGCAATAAAAATGTAAATTTACACTATATTTTCTATCAAGTATTTGAGAGTAATGGCAGATTTCCAGTTATTGATATGGGTTTTAAGTAAAGAACATTTTAAATATTTAGTCTATTTTGTATGAGGGATGATCATCCTGGTTCGGCCAGGGTCTTTCTGTGAGGAGTTTGCAAGTTCTCCCTGTGTCTGCTTTTTAGTATTTAAACATAAAGGGCCTTTTCTGGGGTAAAGAAAACTACAATTCATACAATTTAGATGAAACGAACTAGTGAAAACAGCCTGAGAGTTATTCTACATTAAATTTCTGCCAATAGTTCCCTTTTACCTAAATCTTATACACTGGACCTTTAAGCCTGTGATACACTGGTGACCTGTCCAGGGTGTACCCCCACCTCTTGCTCAAAGTCAGCTGCGATTGGATCCAGCTCTCCCTGCGACCTTTAAAGAATTAGCGGCACAGATAGATTTGGATTTGGATCATCACTCTGTGAACATTTACTTGGCAAACTCAATTTATTGTATGCCTTGTGAATTTGCAAAAAGTTAAAAACATGTGCTACACCTGATGTTCAGATCATCGGCAATCTCTTCAGTAAAATCAATATCATGGTGAAGTCCCAGTCCACGTTGGAACAGATTTTATTTAGCAGATATTGGGGATGCAACATACAGTAGCAGCGATACAGAAGAGTCAGTGGCATTTAGGCTTTATAGGCTGGAAGAAGAAGAGGGGCCGGATTCAGAGTGTGCTCCACTCACATGGTCAGCTCCTACGAGGAAAAAAGAACAAGAAGATCAATTCAGAAACTGTGAAAACTAGGAATAAAAACTAGTAAAGAAGATGGTTTCTGCATTTAATTTATGTACCAGTGACTTCACTGCAATTGAAGAAAACATGTCACAGTCTAGAAGATATCACTGCCTAAATAAACTAAATTGCCAGGGATGCTCAGAACAAGAGGCTGTGTTTTATTACGACTTTTACCAGTGATCTTTAGCAGCTCCACCAGTGATGTCAGTGTGAGTTATTGCTGCCACCTAGTGTACAAAAAACAGCACTGATGACCTCCGGAGCTGTAGAGGTTGCTCAGTTACTGGGGAGAAATTGTACTTGCATTTGTCCTGGGCTCATTCTTCTCTACCACCCCTCAACGCACCAGCCCCGCCCCACCCCATCCCAACCTCGTCATTGCACCCCCTCGCTCACTGGTGATGACTCATTTATTTATGCCCTCCTTCTACTTTCTTCCTCTCCCGCTCCCTCCTTCCTCCTCACCATGATAGCATTCACAATGTCATTCTTGTTGTGTTTCAGCGCACGGACGGCCTTGGCCCGTGACACATTGGCCTGAGCCATCACCAGCTCGATGTCCCTTTGCTCAAGACCCCCCTCGTCCACCTGATGCATTAAAGGAAATAAAAAGACAGAGACAGAGAAAGAAGGATAAAGTTAACAACTGAATGAAAGATTTTACAGAGAACTGCAGCATTGTGTAAGTGTTAACAGTACCTCCTCTTCCTCCTCTTCACTCTCCTCCTTGATGGTGAGGCTGGGTGGGACAGGAGGGGCCAAGGGAGAAGAGGTCACAGGCACCTTGAATTTCTCCGCAGCTGCTTTGTGAGCCTGCTGAGACAGGTCCTCGATCTGAGAGGAAAGAAGAGGAGAGGAGAGACATGTAAATGTAAATGATTGTTAATAGTGAAGAAAGAAAGAAAGAAAGAAAGACTTACCTTAGCCTCTCCAAACACAATGTAAATGTCTGATGCAGGGCTTTTGAATACATCTGGTTTGCTGATGACAAACAGGATACTCTTGGACTTCCTTATAGTGATTCTGGTCACACCATGGACTGGCTTAAGACCCAGTTTAGACATGGCCTGCATACACATACAGCAGCATGTAGAGCGAGAAAGAAAGACAACACAGAAACAAAATGAAAACTGCCATCATAACATAATTAAACTATTGCTTTCATAATAATACTTAATATTTGCAGTGTCTCAATTTGCATACCTCCACATTTACATTTACGATTTTGATTGCTTTTATATATGAAGTATGAACCTCTCAAAACAGCCAAAGGTTGGGGTGTAAAAAGACGAATGCTCACTCTCAAGGGTCATCGTGGACACATGCACATACACGGGGAGTGACTGACATATTTGGGAAAAGTGCGTCAGAGGAGGAGGGCACACACAAGAAAGTAAGTCTTAATTTTTAGTCAAGCATGGAAACCTCTTCAGTTTTATTTGGGACGAAATCAAACACATGCAACCAAAGTGAGTTTACTGTGCATGTACAGTACATGTGAGTTTCCTGACCTAAGAACCCAATTTGAGACACAGTCAACTTTGATCACTTCATTCATATACAGGCTGTAATCTGACCTTGCGAGCCTTCTTCTCACTGCGGCTCTGCTTCGGTCTGTTCAGCCCTTCATCTGCAGAGGAGAGAGACTGAAGGAAGAACTGAATATTAGTCAGCCTTTACAGTAATAATACATATTTTCAAATTTCAGTTCTTCCACAGGCCGATTTTGCTGATTTAGTGAGACGAGGAAAAATGAATCTTACATATCTGGTTTCCAACAAAGCAAGATTGTACGTTGCTATATTGCTGTTGCAGGTAATTTAGTTTTCTCTTGCATACACAAGAAGCAATGTGTCTGATGTTTATGGCAACTGTAGAAACAGGAGTTTAGTTGATGATGTGTCCAGAATTAAGATCAATATCTAAAGATTCTAACACTTGATCAATTTGACACATACATTTATTCAGGTGTATTCATTTCCTGATGATTGAAGTGTTAAGATCTTGATGCTATAAATTAAAACTATTTATAGATTTAAATAATCTGTTTTACCAATGTTTCCTGAACGCAGCAGGAACAGACTCACCTGGTGCTCTGGTCTCCGTGGCTCTGGCTCCTCTAACTCAGGCACCGACCCCTCACTCTCAGACTCATTACAAGAAGCCATGATGGAACCTACACACACAAATATACAGGACACATACAAGTACATGTATGTGAAGCGTGTCACATTCTTGGTGCCATAGAAGCTAATCACCATAGTTGAAGTAATAAGGTTATAAGTGAGTCTATCTCATTAGTGCAGTGCTGATGAAGAGTGTTCATTATAAATTCCAAAAGCTAATCTAAGCAACACCAGGGGATGGGATTAGTTTATGGAAAATAATTTAATTAAAACTTCATGCTATGTGATTTTACATTTTTTGCCGTGTGACATTGATTTTGATAGAAATTATTATTATTTTTTAATGATAATCCATAATTGAAATTATATAAAGTAGGAAATGTTTCTTGTGACGTTATCTGCCATAAAAAAACAGGTTAGGACATTTTGTCCTGTGTGATGAATTTATATTCAAACTTATCTAAGAGTAACACAGAGAGAACAGAAAGCTGGAAACAGGCCATGAGAGAAGGGTGGAGTGTGCAACAGAAAGCAGAGAGAATTTTAGGGGATTTCTGAGTCCCACATCATCTCCACAACTCACAATTGTTTTTGAAGGATATGTCGAGCTCTTCAGAAATCTTACGGCTGTGGTTGATGGGACAGCCAGACTCTCTGTTGGCCATGTGATGGGCAGAGAAAGGTTGTAGTTCCCGTTGGTTGGATGGACCAGACTCGTTCTGCAACAATCCATTTCTGTTTCCTGTGACTCCTCTGGGCTGGGATCTGTGACCACGTCGGGGCAACCCACCATCGTCCTCACTGTCTGTCTCCTCTTCAGCCAAACTGGGACCTTCCAGAGAACACATTAATTGATCACATATATATTAGGACACACTTAACTCTAGATCAGGGCAATATGATGACCAGTTAACTTTTTTAAATCAACTTGCAAACTCCCTTTTCACTGCTGCTTGTCAGACTGTAAAGAAAAGTAATCCCTCAGCATGTATTGTGCTGTGATATAGATCATTTCTGGACTCACCTCTGCATCTGTCTTGGGTGTTCCATGTGCGACCCTTCTTGGTTTGTTTGTGAGACTGGGTGTTGAGATTAGGCAAAGAATGCGAATAGGACTGAGACTGGAGACAGGAAATAGAGTCTCGAACAGATGCTGAATCTTGAGCCCCAGGAGAGGATGATTCCTGGGTCGGCCGGGACAGGCTTAATGGCATAAGAGTGGAGAACGAAGGTGATGAGACACTTGTGGCAGATGTGGCAGATGTGGCAGATGTAGCAGATGTAGCAGATGTAGCAGATGTAGAAATTACAACAGTGATCTCTTGGAGGTTGTTGTTAGGAAGACATTTGGGATTAGGGGCTGGTTGTGTTGTTGGGGAGGTAGAGCAGTGGGTAGGAGGGGCATTACACATGGACAGTGAGGACCGAAGCTGGGCAGAGGAGACGGGCTGGGATTCCTGCACAGGTGTCGAAAGATCATCCTCTGGCTCAGTTGAGCCATCAGGTAAAGGGGAGGAGGAGGAATCTGGAGATGCTGAGGAGGGACATGGGGTCAGACAGGCTGATGGGGGATCCTGGGTGAGTGGGCTGGGGCCAGTTTCTATGTTGTTGTCATTAATGTCTACTGTAATCCCTCTCTGACTATCAGGTAGTGGTCTATTGTCAAGCACTTCTTGGTTCAGTGCCACAACAACATTGAGGTTGTCTGGACTATGTGTGGTTGAATTACAGTATCCATAGCCAGGACTTGTGACAT